ATCTATCTATCTATCTATCTATCTATCTATCTATCTATCTATCTATCTATCTATCTATCTATATGTACATGCATATAATTTTTTCCCTCCAACTACCCTAATACTGAAAAAGGTCTCATGAGTTATAAATATCATCTTTCCATGTAGGAATGTAAACAGTTCAACCTTAATAAGTCTCTTATGATTTCTTTTTCCTGTTTACCCCTTCATGTTCCACTTGAGTCTTGTATTGGAAAGTCAAATTTTCTATTCAGCTCTGGTCTTTTCATCAAGAATGCTTGAAGTCCTCTATTTCACTGAATGACCATTTTTCCCCCTGAAGAATTATACTCAGTTTTGCTGGGTAGGTGATTCTTGGTTGTAATCTTATATCCTTTGCCCTCTGGAATATTATATTCCATGCCCTGCAGTCCCTTAATGTAGAAGCAGCTAAATCTTGTGTTATCCTCATTGTGTTTCCATAATACTTGAATTGTTTCTTCCTGGCTTCTTGTAATATTTTCTCCTTGACCTGGGAACTCTGGAATTTGGCTACAATATTCCTAGGAGTTTTCCTTTGGGGATCTCTTTCAGGAGGAGATCTGTGGATTCTTTCAATTTCTATTTTGCCCTCTGGTTTTAAAATATCAGAGCAGTTTTCCTTGATCATTTCTTGGAAGATGGTGTCTAGGCTCTTTTTTTGATCATGGCTTTCAGATAGTTCAATAATTTTTAAATTCTCTCTCCTGGATCTATTTTCCAGGTCAGTTGTTTTTCCAATGAGATATTTCACATTGTTTCCTAATTTTTCATTCTTTTGGATTTGTTTTACGGTGTCTTGATTTCTCATAAAGTCACTAGCTTCCAATTGCTCTATTATAATTTTTAAGGGAGTATTTTCTTCAGTAAGCTTTTGGACTTCCTTTTCCATTTGGCCAATTTTGCTCTTTAGGGCATTCTTCTCTTCATTGGCTTTTTGGACCTCTTTTGCCTTTTGGGTTAGGCTATTTTTTAAGGTGTTATTTTCTTCAGTGTTTTTTTGGGTCTCCTTTAGCAAGCTGTTGACTTGCTTTTCATGATTTTCTTGCATCACTCTCATTTCTCTTCCCAGTTTTTCCTCTACTTCTCTTACTTGCTTCTCAAAATTCCTTTTGAGCTCTTCCAAGGCCTGGGACTGATTCATATTTTTCTTGGAAGCTTTGGATGTAGGAGCTTTGACTTTGTTTTCTTCTTCTGGTTATATGTTTTGATCTTCTTTGTCACCACAGTAAGATAATATAGTCTGACTCTTTTTGCACTGCTGGCTCATGATCCCAACCAATTACTTGAGTTTTAAACTCTTTGTTAAGGTAAGAGTCTGTTTCCAATGTGGAGAGTGTACTGTCCCAAGCTTTGTGGGTTTGTCCAGCTGTTTTCAGAGATACTTCTAGGGACCTGAAAAGTGTCAGTTCTTCCAAGGTGCTATGATAAGGGGTGAGGTGTTTCCTCTCCACCGCCACAACAAGCTCCACCAGACCAGCGCTCCTCCTCGCCCCAGAACTGCCCCTCAGAGCTGTGACCCAGATCCAAGCACGGGCAAAGCAAGAGATTCCTGCCTCAACCCTGGCAAAGAGATCCTTGCAGTCCCCCTCTGATCAGCCACTGGATTCCCCCTCAGTCTGTGGGCCAGAAGCTCAGGAGGCAGCCACTACCCCAAACCTAACTTCTCTCTCTCACCGCAGTCACAGACTTTTCCCACTGACCT